ATGTACTGAATGTCGGCGCCTGCGGCGGGTTTTGCAAGTTTGCTAAATTTGCTCTCGGGGCCTCGCATCCTCTTATCCGCAAGTGCGGCGGGGTATGCCCCGTGATTCGGCCCACTGTGGTTCTGTTCGGGCCCTCTTGGGACGTCTGAGGCCTTGGTGGAGGCATCACGCGTTCCTTTGAGAGCCATCGTGGAACTTTCTTTGGCAGCTTGGGGGATCCGTGTGAGGAGGTATTGTGTGGTGTTAGGCTATTGGTGGTTGCATGTTGAGCGAAACTGGAGATGAAGCGTGGGTAACGATGGTGGGATAAAGACACAAGCCGACAAGACGGCAGAAAGGCTTATAGTCTAACTGGAGATGGCCTACCCCTCGGCACGGCCAGCACCCGATTCAACACAGACGGCGCAGATCGAATACGCCTCTGGCGAATCACCGCCGACCACTGTGACCAAATGCCAACATCGGAACATATTGGCACTTGTTTATTTCCGAAGGAAGCGATCACCACATCACGCATCAGCACATCTCCAGGCACATCTTAGGGGAAAGACACCCTGTTTGCACCGCGACCTCCAGCTCGGGCGAACCCCATCTGGTGGTGGCAGGGAGCGTGGCCAGAGGCACCAGCCTCCCCAGAACCGCCCCGCGCGCTCGCTGGGCGATGTCTCGGCATCGCTCGGACGTGTGCAGTTTTCCTTCGGCGAGGACCATAGAGGAGCATCCTTGATCATTCGGCGAAAAAAACCACGCACGAAACCGAAAAAAACACACGGAATGGACGTCCGAGCGATGGCGAGATGTGGAGTGAGACGGGTTCCTGTCCTTCGTGCCGGGCCGCCGACTGGGCCGCAGCGAGCTCTACCGAGGGCGCTGCAGGCCAGGGGGGGCTCCAGCCACCTTGCTGTGAGACGCCAGGGCCACGGGCGCGAATCTGATAGGGGAACAAGAAGTGGCATAAACATAAAAACTCGGAGGTCCGCGCGGATTTCTCGGATCCGCGCTGGACCCCCCCTCCCTGGCGCGCGGAGCGCGCCAGGGACGGCGCCGCAGGCGCCGCTGGGGGGCCCCAGCGCCGATCCGAGAAATCCGCGCGGACCTCCGAGTTTTTTATGTTTATGCCACTTGTTGTTCCCCTATTGCGAAGGCCTTACGGCCGATGCCGCCGACCCTGGAGACAGCGTTCTGTCATTGGGGAGAAATAACAACGCAACAGGAAGAGTGTTCAGTGTGGAAGCGCATTGCCGACGAGGGGGAGGGTGGTCGGCCCAAGAAAACACGGAAATATGTTTGTAAACCAGACGAGCATGACGGAAAGAGCGCTAGCGAGAGTATTTCTGCTCAAGGTTTTTGCCCAAATGTGGGGGGCAGTCTGGCGGGGTGGTGGACGAGGCGTGGGGGGTGCAAACTTATAAGACGCTCTCTTGTGGTCATTTGGGCGCTTGCCGCGCCCAAATGACCACCGGAGAGCGTTGAAAGCGCGCTTGCCGCGCTCGGGAAAGTGTCCCGCCTCCGTTCTGTGATGGGGAGGAGGAGGAACAGGCGGAGGAGGAGGGCAAGGTCGAAGAGGAGGTTGTTTTGTAACTTCCTAGTTTGTTTTGTAGCTTCCTAGGAGAGTTTTTGGGGCCTCTCGGGAGCCTCTTGGGGCCTCTGTGGGCTTCCTGGAGGGCCTCTTGGGAGCTTCTCGGGGCTGAGGGTTCGAAATGTCCGTTCGGGTCCCCCGTCTGGGCGCTCTCTTGGAACCGTTTTGGGAGCCTTTTGTGAATCTGGGAGGCGTTTTGGGCCGTCTTGGGCCACTTTTGGGCCGTTTGGGGACCCTCTTGGAGGCCACTTGGGCCGTGTCGGGGCGATCTTGGGAGCCTCTTGGGCCGTCTTGGCGCGTGGGGAAGCGGAAGAGGCGAGAACGCCAAAATCCTTGAAAAACGCAGGAAATCCATGATTTGTGCCTCTTGGGGCTCTCGTGGGAAGGGTCCTGGAGGCCTTTAGGGGCGTCTCGCAGGCCTTTTGGGCCGTCTGGAGGCCGTCAAGGCGTCTTGGACAGATCATTCGGCGATTCGGCGCCCTCTTGGATTATCTTGGGGGCCTCTTGGAGCACTCTTGGCCGGTCTTGGGGCCTTTTTGGGCTTGGGGATTCCCCGGGAGGGCGGCGTAAAAACCCGGGCCCCCCCCCCGGGAGCTACCCCGGGACTCCCCCCCTCTTCCCCGGGAAGGGATCACATGGAAGGGGCTTCCCTTCGACTCAAGTACGACGCTTTTCAATCTCGCCTTGGACTGGCGCGCCTCAGAACGAGGCCTTGGGAGAGGGGTAGAAGCAACGACGCTGTGGGGAAAGAAGAAGGAACATCGACGACGACGAAGAGGGAGCAGACGGAGAAGCCTCTTCCACACGCCGACAGGGTCGGCGGATTTGAAGCCAGCCGTCAAGCACCTGGTGTCCATGTTATCGCAAAATTGCGCAGACCAGGGAGGCGCCTCCGCCAACAACGGCGCGGACCTCTCCAAGGAGCCGACGCGAAGGCACGGGGTGCAGGCCAA